CGATTCGCAAGCTGCACATTCTGTAGAAAAAATTCAAGGATGACACAGTAGTCACATTAAGTGGGCAAAGCCCCCTATAATTTCATTCTGGACATGAAAAGGTTCTGTGGCAGCAAAATGGAATAATGATTTTTCCATTTTCCTTTTCAATGATTTGTAGTAGAGCTATGAAGTCTGGTTAAACAGGATTTCCATCGATTGCAGCAATTTGCAAATAAAAATGACTGGCACTCGAAGGCTTGAGAGAGGCAACTCATAAAATAACAGACAACCCTGCAAAGCAGCAAGTCAAGCATCCATAGATAAATGGGACAGAGTCGGCAACAAAAACGTGATGGTATTAATTTAATGCTGCACTTTATCGCCTGCATTGCATTCATATTGACTGCTTTTTTTTTAAATTTCACCCACTGTTATAAGGTTTTAAGTCCTTCTGGAATTCCCTGCCTCAATCGTTTTGTGTTGCCCCCTCTTTGTCCATCTTCGGATCACACCTGAAGACTTTCCTCCTCAACCTCCTCCTATGGTCACCTCCCCTTTCTCCCCGCCTGGGCATCGAACTACGCCATTGTTAAGCGCTCTGAAAACAAAGCTCTGAAACGTTACCCCACCTGAAGGGCGCTACAAAAATGCAGATTTGCTGTTATAAATTCAGCACAACCAATAATAGCGCTTTGTTTTCACTCAATAAGTCTGGGCAAACAGAATTTGCTGTGCCGTGCATACATTGCAACCGCGCATTATATAGCTTTGTGGCGATTATCGCAAAAAAAAAATGTTGCAATGTTAATTCCATCAGCCACCATTAAAAAAAAACAGTTAAAACTTCCCCCGAGTTTATTTATTGCGCTATGGGCAGCTTCGAGAAGCAAAATGCTTAATGGATTGGGGCTGCCATTCACGTAGTTCGCTTAACACCTTAGTCCAGTTGATAGAATCGTTCAGTTATTTTCCTTAATTGGAAGGTTCACTAATTGTCTCTTGCAATACTTAATAGCATCAACAATCTCAAGTCTGCAAATGACTATAATTCTGCTTTGAGGTAGTGTTAGAAGTGTTAAGAAGTCTAGTTTGTAAACATGCACATTTTAATTTACCACTTGATCATTTAAGAGAGGTCTCATTTATTATTGGTATGCTCCACGAGTTTGGATCCATACATTTAATAATTTATGGACAGCTTGAAAGACGTGCTTTAGTTTTGAGATTGATCAGGTTATTATCTAGAAGCTTTGAAGTTAATGCTGTAAAACATGATATTTCACTCTCTCGGGTGTTTGGGGTTCATTATGTGCGCAAAAGAGATCTTCCCCATTCATTTCGCATTTACTGTGGCAAGCATTATTTTATGAAAGGCCAATCATTGATACATAACAATTCTATGATTCTACGAAAATATTATAAAACCAATAATACACTTGTTCGGGTATATTTTGTCAAGCATTTTCACATGGAATGCAATTTTACCACAATACAAATCTCTTCTTAAAAGATACTTTGGCGCCCGTGTTATTGTCTTTGATTTAAATAACATTTCAAGAGCTCTCTAAATCTGCTTTGTACACGTCAACAACAATAACAAATTACATTTGTAAAGCGCCTTTCACGTCGGGAGGACATCCCAAGTCACTGGACAGTCAGGGATTTGGCTCCGAAATAGGGGTTGGTATCAGGAGGCGGGGAGGGCAGGGAGGGTATGGGTAGGAATGAAGGCGCAAACTTCAGTGTTCATCTCTAAACACTTTAAGATATGCCTTATTGCTACAGTAGCTTAATTTGGTTTAATGTCAGCTATTGCAAGAGGAGAACATTACTGCTTTCGTATGTTCCATTAAACTTTCCATTATTCATTCAGTGTTTGCTTGTAAGCCCGCTAATAAAATTACTAATTTGAAATAATTTTCAACTTTGTTCATTGATAAGATCAGAAAGTTATTCCATCTTATCAAAACGTAACCCTTTCGGTGACTTCAAAGTACTTCAGTGCCTGCGTTTAAAAGAAAGCGAGTTGCAATCACTGAGTCTGAGGAGTTGCTGCTGATTTTCGAAGGAGACAGAGTACGTTAGTGTTTCTGTCGCAGTCGTAGAAAAACTGAACTCTCGGAATATATCAATGCAAAGGGTTTAAGCGATTACTTTCTAACCCCAACATCTTTTAGCTTCATCTTCTGTTACTGGTGCACTGGACATTTTTTCCACTTTATCAGCAGGGGGCATCCTTACTTTCCCATGAAACTGTAGCAGCTCATCCTGCCATGAATTAAAGAAACACCGGAACTGAAAGGTACAATGTAATATCACTCAACCATGAAGATGAATATTTTGTTTTTAATATTAAACATTGTGGAGCAATGTGCTGGCAAAGGAAAGGCACTTGACTTATTCTTTCATTGTTTCAAGTATATTTGGGGGGCATATATTATAAATAAAGTATATTTGCCCCTAAATATACTTTATTTATAATATATATTATAAATAAAGCAACAGAAGAAATTGAACGGAATAGAAAGAAGATTTCTCTTTCCATCAAGTGCTCTGGTCAGGTATACAGCGGAGAACAGATGTATCTTCCCTAAGTACCTCAGACTAGTTGTACTGTATTGTGATCTGAGTAGCTATGAAAAAGAAATGCTCACCGAGAGATGGAGCAGGACAATTTAGACTTGGCTCACCGATAACCTTAGTTTTTTTTAAAAAAAGCCCTCTTTTGGCAAGGCAGCCTTGTTTAAAAAAATCAGAATTTAAGTAAAATACATATTGCAAATAATATATTCGGTACATATGTCTATATATATACATATTATAGAACATAAAATAAAGATCCTGTGGAAGAGTTTAGTTACGAGTAAAGGGCTTATCACTTCTGCAGCAAAGTGGATTCTAGCGGTTTGTTTGTGGTAAAACCCCCCCAAACCACACATGATTTTTGCGGAACCAAATGTTTTGACGCTTCTTTCAATGTTCAAGAGCTCCAGGAGGTGTATCCATTAAGCACAGAGATGGGAAGAACATTCTTATGCAGCAGAGGATGTTGTTTTGCAGTTGGCTTGCTCTGATAAAAGCGTTGACTGAATTATTACTGCCCTCCGACCTAGAGAAGCACTTACTTATAAGTTTCATAAAAGGCAATGCTCATTTTGTTCCCATTATCAAGAAACCCAGCGATGGACATGTTTTTATGGCAGTTTTCAAATGCCAAGACCATTTTAAACCCATTTTCATAACAAAGGGTCAAGTATACTTTGTAATTCTCCAGTCCTTTAAAATGCATCACCTGATTTAAATTAATACATTTTACTTAAAAGTTTTAAACAGCCACAGGAACAACTGGAAAAATAATAATCATTGCATTTGACACAGCACCTTATCACATCTTTGAAACTTCTCAAAGCGCTTCACAGAATATATTGTGAAGCAAATTGACTGTATATTTTGTGGGCGAAATGCACAGCCAGTTGCGCACAGCAGTGTCCCACAAACAGCCGTGGATTGAGTGATCAATTTTTTTGAAGGGTTTATTACCCCCCAGAAAACAATCTACCAATCGACTAACAACTACTTACTGCCTGGTAAACAGAGGAGTGTGGCGTAAGGAAACATACCTAAGGTATATATATCTCGTGGTATATTCTGTTAAATTTTGCATTTTTACGTTAATCTGATGGAATTATAATGTTTCCCTGTCTGCTTGTTTGTAGAGCCTCTGCTAGTTAGTAGCTCTGGTGTTTAATGTTTCATAATTTCAGCTAGCGGTGATGGAAGAATAAAATTAGTACTATGTCTGCCCACAAAACCCACAGTCAAAACCACTTTACAGTATATTCTGTGAAGCACTTTCAGACGTCTCGATGACATGATAAGGCGCGATATCAAATGCAAGGTTTATTATAATTATTATTATCCATTTAAAATGGAACTAACAGGCGTTAGCACTCTATAGGACTCGACGTGAAAACTACAGACTTTCCGACTACAGGTCTAGGATACAGATGGTTTGCTGGAACAGTGTCAATACCTGGACATCTCAGGTACAAACTTTCACCCCTTTCTTCACAGCTTCATGAACACCAAGTCCATGTGTGTATGGGTGTTGAGAAAAAACACAGGCGGAACAGAATCCTCATCGAAAAGAAAGCGAATTGTTACTGAAGAAAAACGCTCCTAAAAGCTCAGAACTGACACAGTTATCCGCAAAGGTTATTTTAAGGCACAATTTCCCCCCGTCCTGACACACAATAAGGTCTCGCTGTTCTTGCTGAATGAATTGTCTTTTCAAAGGGGAGGGGGAAACACAGGAATCTCCAAGGAAATAAAGGCATATCACATTCTCTACAAACTGCAATGAAAAGTATATCATTTGTGCATTGCTCAGGATGCCTGAGTCCTCCAGTCCTGAAAGGGGTTAATTTCCTTTGGGAACGAATGGAATGGAATTACAGCATGGGAATACAGGAATATATTACATCAACACACACCACACACACAAACACACACACGATGCAATTAGAAAAGAAAAAAAAACATCAGAGTGGAGTGTTTCCTACCCCCCACCCACCCAAAAAAAAAAAGAAACACAGGCAGTTTTAACTCAAAGTTGCCTCTTAACTGTTCAATAAAAAGCAAAAATAATAATGGGAGAAGAAGTTTGAACCCAGAATACGACTGAGCATGTTAAATCCCTGCCTAAGGGGAACAGCCACAGGAATAGCTCTGCGACCTTGTCCCTGTTACACAACATCCCTTCAGAGATAAATACATTCAGGGGGATGTGAAGTCTCCCTGGCATCAGAGATGCTCTCAAGCAAAGTCACCAGCCATGTTCCAGCTAGTTATCATCACTGTAAAAGAAGAAGATGTTTAATCACAGTCACAGACACAGTCACATACATCCCTGTGATGATGCTCAGGGAGAGGGAGAGAGGAGAGGGGTGGGTGGGTGTTAAAGGTGCTGCTGTGGTCCATGGTCTCTTATCACAATGTTCTTAAGTCTTGGTTCTCACCTTCTGAGGAAGTGCACAGTTGGATGTAAAGCCCCAGGTAATGTACAGCTCCCAGGATGGCTCCAAACATCCCCATCTCGTCTCCAGTGCTTGTTGAGATTTTTTCTTTTCCACCAAACACCACCCCCCCACCCCACACACACACACACACACACCACCCCCACCCCCCCTCCACCACACACCCACACACACAAAAAAAATTCACATCAATAGAGGGGCTCCTGGTAGAAATCCAACTCAGATCTGACACAGACACACACACACACACACACACAGACACTCACTCTCTCTCACACACACACACACACACTAATCCGTTCCAAATAGCTGGTGAGAGCTGATGTGTTGGAGCCCCAGTCTATGCAGCAATGCACAGTGAAGAGAGAGAGAGATGGAGAGATGGAGAGAAGGAGAGAAGGAGGGAGGAGAAAGGAGGAGGGAGGAGGCGGGGACTGGTTGGGTTGAGTCTGTCCAGGAACCTGATCACTGCGCAGAGCAATCCATTCAATTCCACTCAATCTCAAGTTACTGGAGAGAGAGACTTTTGATTTACTCTTGTAATGAAATCGCAAGATCTAACTTCTCCTTCTTCTTTCTCGCATAAAGCGTCACCCCCCCCTACCCCACCCTACCCCACCCTACCCCACCCCATCGGCTGTTCGGTTTTACGCGGAATGGCGTCAACTGTTAAAGGGGAAAAACAAACCCTCTCTCCGCCCCCCCCCACCCCACCACCCCCACATCGCCCTCCGGCCCATTTGTCTTCTCCCAGCGAAAGGATAACAATCCTCGCATTTGATGTAGCGCCTTATCATCTCTTCCAGACGTCTCAAAGCGCTTCACAGAACGGGCGGAGGGGAGAGAGAGATCAATATTATCGTGATAGAATAAGTAATCACTAAAAATAAGCAATGGGCTTCAATCATGATGCCTCAGTATTACGTTTAATTTAATAACAATAACGGAGTTAATATTGACCGTGCCCCTCCCCGACTGTATCCGTACTAAACAACTCGCATTGGACAGTAATGAGCATTGCCATCGAGTGGATGGATGGGCTAATCAGACTGGTTTATCACACACACAAAAATAAGCAACGTAGGTCAATACAGGATTCGCTCCATGGGTTGACGAGTTTATGCGTTGCGATCAGACTTCGTTACCAGTCTCAGCACCACAGCGGAGAACAGCTCCGAGATCATGTGCTGCAGTTTGCTGACCCTCTGCTCTCGCCAAATCGCAGCAACTTCCTTCACCAGTTTTCGGCCGATATAACGCAGTCAAAAACTCTCATTGAATACAATTAGTACATGTTAGCAAGTTTCCTTACTCCACACGCCGCTGTCACTGTTGGTAGTTGATTGGCGGATCGCTTTCCAGGGGGGATAATAATCCCTCCCCCGCCCCCAAAAAGAATAAAATAAAAATTGGTCGCTCAATCCAAGGCTGTTTGTGGGACGCTGCTATGGGCAATTGGCTGCCGCATTTCGCCCACAGTATACACAAACAAAACCACTTTACAGTATATTCTGTGAAGTGCTTTGAGACGTCTCAACAACGTGATGAGACGTCATATCAAATATAAGGATTATTATTATATACTTTACGTAGATTTTGAGATCAGAGAGCCAGTTCAACTGCAGAAATACAGACACAACTCTTTACAGTATATTCTGCCAAGCACTTTGAGACGTCCTCCTGACTTGAAAGGTACTTTCCCAAATGCAAGGATTAATTCTTATTAAACGTATTTCTCCCCGTTGTCTAATATGACGGAATTTGTGCAATCCCAAAGCACTGGCATCTCAAACAGTGTGTTAACCACTGCTGTGTTACAACAGGGCAACCTACTTTTATCTGATCAATGTCTGGGAACAAGACTGTCTTTTTTTCCTGTTACGGGATGAATATAAAATCTCAGGACTCCCTTTAATGCAAATCAAAGAGTGAAACTCTCTCACGTTGCTGGCAGTTGCATCTCTGAACTGAAAGATCTGTAAGAACACAACAACCGTGTTTTTCCAATAAATAATGTTATCTATCCACTTATTATCTACAGGTAAACTTTAACTAAACAAACAGGTTTAATAATAATAATATTAATCCTTGCATTTTATACAGCACCTTATCATGTCTTCGACACACCTCAAAGCGCCTCACAGAATATACTGTAAAGTGAATTGACTGTGCATTTTGTGGGCAAAATGCAGCAGCCAATTGCGCACAGCAGCGTCCCACGAACAGTCATAGATTGAGTGATCAAATTATTATTACTTTGTAATGATTTTAATTTTTAAGCTTCCATTCATCTCAAACACTCTTGCTTCTTGGACACCACTAAAGCTTCTTGTGTTTCTAAATAAATGCTTTAAATGTTGGAAGCTCAGCACTGTGTCTAAGTCTGTACTGAAAGTTGGCGATGGCAGGGATGGGTGTCCACAGCTAGTTCCTTTAAGCACAGCTAAAGGAATATAATGCAGGCGGCACCCTTGTGAAATTGGCTTCCGGCTATTTCTCTTCATTGCCAACTAAAACGGTGAGCTTGTTGATCTGTCAGTAAGAGTTTAGGGCTCATTGGGAAGAACGAGACGTGAGGCACAGACACACTCATAGACAACAAGAGCCATAGCAAAAGGAGAGAGCAGCACCGCCTGTTACGTACAGGAATAATCCAAGGCACCTGCAGTGTAGGAAGCCTTTACTGCCCTGTAGCTTCACAGCCCTGGTAAACAGCTCTCTATTAGTTATCTGAAGCCACAGCTCCCACTTCCAGGTGTGTGGGAAGTAGTGCTAAAGCGAAAGGTCAGGGGGTTTGCAATTAAAGTGCGAAAAGGATTTATTGGTGAGGACAATCCTGACAAATTGTTTCCCCGACTGTGCTGCACGTTTCATTACAGAGAGAGACGCGCCCAGTGACAGTGCGTGAATGGTGTGAGCTCCCTAAGGGGTGCGGCTTAGTCCCCAAAACAGTGGCGATTTGTGCGTATCTTCACGCAGATGCAATTCACGCTCAGCAGTGAGACACAAACCCTATCTACACAGCAGCCAGTTATTGGACACGTCGAACAGCTTATTTCTACCGTGGAGAGCATAACACACATTGCCACGTCCTGAAAAGGGTTTAAGTACGGTTTGCTTCAATAGAACAAACTTTGTAAAAATAATAACCCTTGCATTTGATATAGCCCCTTATCATGTTGTTGAGATGTCCCAAAGCGCTTCAGAGTATATATTGTAAAGTGGATTGACTGTGTACTCTGTGGGTGAAATTTGGCAGCCAATTGCGCACAGCGGTGTCCCACTAACAGTCGTGGATTGAGTGACCAAATCATTTATTTCTTGAAGGGATTATTCCCCCCCGGAAAGCAATCCCCCAACCGACTAACAACTGGGTTCCCACTTGCTGTTAAACTTCCTTTCCTCCTTTTTGTAGTGCATTTCTCTCACACAGAAACTCCGAGCACAAACCCCTGCGCGAATCGTATTTTCTGCAGACCCAGTTTTCTGAATTTCTTTTCATTTTCTCGGGCCACGTTAAGCTCTGCCGCTCGCTCTCCTTCTCGCCGACTGCAGTTTCTCACCAAGCCACCAGGAGGTGCACTCAAAAAGGCAGAGGCAACACCCATCAGTGTTGAAGTGTGATTGACGTTCGATTTCACCCTTTCAATTGGTGATTGTCGTTGCAATAATTTTGCTTATTAAAGTCTGGACAGCCGGGACGCACGTGAAGCAGCAGCTGAAACCCCAAAGCACTAGGGAGATGATTTAACATCGGAAAATGCTAACATTGAACCATGTGTTTCAGGAGCCAGGTCACTTCAATGTTATGTGGAACTGGGATCCCTCAATAACGTCAGTTTCAGATTCCATTCACAATGCGATCCGTCCAGCAAGATTTTCATTTTATTTTGTTTTAAAGAGTAATCCAGTAATCGTTGCATTTGATACAGTGCGTTTCATGTCAGGAAAAGAGAATAGAGGAAAAGGAGTAGAGATAAAGGTAAAGGACGCTGCATCCTAACTCTTTGTTTCATTCACTCAGTCGGTTTTCCCAGGCTTCTTGGCTAAGGCTGAGTCTGAAGGTTAGGCAATAGGGGAATTGAACCTGAAGTCTGAGCAGTTAATGAACTTGTATTTTGGATGCTGCTTTACTTTGGAAGGCAATTCCATATTGTTGAAACAGTTGAAAAATGACAGCAGTATAAAGTTGCTTTGCAATTGAGAAGCAAAACTGAAGTCACTGAAGATTCGCAATGCGTTTCTAGTTTAAAAAAAACTTGTGAACTTACAAAGCATGATCGTTACATGGTTAATACATGTATGCAATGGGTCACTTGCACCCAAGACACATGTGGCATTAATCATAGGTGGAATTTGTGGGTCATTTCCAGATGTAGGTCTATCATAATACTGTGCAGAACATTTATATTTTAATGCATGAATGTTACATTTTTTAAAAAAATGGCAGAGTCACTAAATGAATACTTTGCTTCTGGCCTCACGTTGGAAGATACTAAAAACTTACCAGGAATAGTGGGGAACTAAGAGACTAATGTTAGTGAGGAACTTAAAGAAATTAATATCAGTAAAGTAATAGTACTAGAGAAATTGATGGGACTAAGAACTGACAAATCCCCTGGACCTGATGGCCTGCATCCTAGGGTTTTAAAAGCGGTGACTGCAGAGATAGTGGATGCATTGTTTTTGATCTTCCAAAATTCCCTGGATTCTGGAACGGTTCCCGTTGATTGGAAGTCGCAAACGTAACGCCGCTATTTAAGAAGGGTGGGAGAGAAAAAATGGGGAACTATAGACCAGTTAGTCTGACATCAGTGGTAGGGAACATTTTCTAGAGTCTATAATTAGGGATGTCATCGTGACACACTTAGAAAGTCATAATATGATTAGGCAGAGTTAACATGTCTTGTAGTGAATTTATGGAATTCTCTACCCCAGAAGGCTGTGGATGCTCAGTCATTGGACATATTCAAGACTGAGGTCGATAGATTTTTAAAAAACTAAAGGGATTAAGGGATATGTGGATAGGGCGGGTAAATGGAATTAGGTTAGAAGATCAGCCATGATCTTATTAAATGGCGGGGCAGGCTCGAGGGGCCGAATGGCCTCCTCCTGCTCCTATTTCTTATGTTCTCTTATCTTAAATCCATTGGTGGTAAATTTAATACTGTATTGTGCTAAGCATTGGAATACTATGATTCTCATTTTGAGACTGGACTTTGCCATTCAAACTGATAGAATAGAAAGTGATTACTG